CACGACACTGCTTAGAATGAAACAAAACACTTTTAATTAGTGCTTAGGTTGTTATTATCGTACTGTGTCGAGCCTGGAAAGTGTCAATATAGAATTTGGTTTAAACCGCTGGAATTTCCGTACAAAATTAACGATCAGTTAATGTAGGAATTGTGCAAAACCCCACGGCCAAAACACTGGTTGCAAAGCATCAATTCGCAGTCAATTACAGGATGGGTTTTGAATTGTGTGCACCTTAACTAGTGTCGTGCACGAAGGGATCGGCGCCACACTCAATCAACACACTTCAGGGTTTCCTTTGCAAAATCGAACTTTAAACACATCCTGATGTAGAAATTGTGCCGAACCCTTCGGGCGCACCGCGCAGTAACACAGTTCTGTTGCCGGGAAAACGCGACTTGCAAAAAATTAGTGACCTTTTTTTAGAATTAAATGTTAAAATTCCGGTCTCGGATATCCGAAAGCTTTAATCCGCTTTAATAAAGAAGTTAGGACTCATTAACAGATGAGTTAGAACTGATTAACGTAGGGAGCGGCAACAACTCAAAAGCGAAACTCAACCCACAAGTGCAGGTTTCGAGATCGCCAATTTCAAGCTGAACCCAGCTGATGAGAGCTAATAGGCTCGAAACCGGCCCTGGGGGTGCCTGAGGTTAGCGCACAGGCACACTTGCCTCTTTCAAAAGCGCATAACGGCTCTGATGATGCCGAAAGCTTTTCGTTGTTCAAGCGGCGAGTTATTGCGTTGCAATCAGTGCCGTGCCCGCAAAGCTCGGCACAACATTGCAACCAATTCGGATTTTCAGGCTCAGTTTACTGTTGGAGCTGTGCTCCAACTAGTTACCGTATTTGTATTCATCCTTTACCTTAGCTTTTCTGAGCAGCGGGTTTACCAGGACCGTATAAAGCAGAACTCCAGCCGCGGAAATCTGGCACAAATTGGACGCATCCACAACATACATGACTTTGCCCACATTAACAAAGTAGTTGGGCCACATGGGCGCTAAAGTACCTAAAAAATCACCTGGTTAAGTTTGACGGGTAAAGACCTGGTCGCTTACCTCCCACTTCCCGGATTGTGTACAGCTTGTCGGCCACCCTCAGACTAAGAATGTTGGTGCCAACGGTGGGTACCGATGTGGTGGTATTATCCACATAGTTGGGGCTTTGGAGCTTTTTTAACAGCAGGCTTTTGCCGGAACCTTCGGGACCGATGCAAAGCACCATTGCATTTTGCGCGCAACGAGTTGTTTGTTCGATACTACCGGTGGCAACCCGGCCAGGGGTGGAGGAAGTAAAAACACTCAGCCCTTTTCAACTATTTACTTATATCACAATAATTAATAAATTATATTACATATTGACAAGTAGAGTACCCACGGTGTTGGCTTGAATCTAGATTAAATGCTTTAGGTATAAAGGAAACCTTGCGGAAATTGATCTGGTGTAGGCCCTTAAAGCGCATGCAACGACCACTGGGCAGGAGTGAATTTTGCTGGCCAGTCTTTTTGCCACAGTGGTTTTTTGCACGCGATTTTCTCGCTTAAGAATGTGTCGGAAACAAATCTATTGAGTCTATAAGTGGTAAGTGAAAACAGCCGTCCAACGCCGCGCCACTTTCAGCAGTTGCCCCCCGAATTAAAAGAAAAAGTCCAACATCAAGTCAAGGGCACAGTAACAAGCCGATTCTAAGCCCCAGCTGGGGGCTTGTTGAAGTCCTAAAGACAAAAACAGTCTTTGATTGTTTCTTTGTACTTTTTTACACTTGTAACTACGAGCTTGTCAGTGTGCCCTATCAGAGCGAAATAAATGATAACATACATTACAACCCGATTTGTTAGTAAAATTCGCTATAAAGAGTTAGTACTTAAACAATAAAAAATAATAGTAACAACAATAAAGGCAGTATGAAAACATACTTACTATACATGTACATAAATCGGCATCAATGTACATGGGCGTGTTTGGGCAAGAGTATAAACTGACTGGATAACAAAACGGGGCTCCGAGGGACAACACTTGATCCTGAGACCTGCAGCCAATAATTACTCGTTAGCAAAAAAAACAGGTTTATGAGTAAAAAACACATTTTTATTCGAATGAATCGAAAACTGCCGATTTCTGATCAGAAGCAATGAGCATAAAGAAGCACTTTTCTTTAACATTCATTTCTGGTTGGACTCAAAACCGGAACAAAACTGTTTTTATTCTGGACCGGAACCGAAACCTAAACCCATTTTTTATATTTACACGCGCTCTGCGACCAAAACAATTTACACAATTCGCGAGTTCAACTACCGATGGTGCCGCTGCGATACATCAAATTACTCGTTGTCGAGTGACAGTTGAAACTTGTCATATTTGTTTATTTATTGGAGTTGATGACATTTATAACATAAAACAATACTTACACACTTTTCGATCTGTTTCCATTTCTTTAAAAGCTTGCAAAAGTTGATTAGAACAAAACAAATGTAAACACCAAT